AGGGGGGGGGGAGAGGGAGAGAGAAAGAGAGAAAGAGAGAGACATAGACAGACAGACAGACAGACTGGCAGACAGACAGACAGAGGAAAAGAAAGAAAAAAATCAGAAAAGAGCCAACGAAAAAAAAAAGAAAAGGAAAGAATAAAAGAGAGAAAAAATAAGAGAAACAAAAAACTAAACAAAACAAAAAAAAAAAAACAGATAACAAACAACGCCTACTACCACATCGCAACAAAAAAACACCAAGAATAACTCACACTCTCCCCTATCCTCGTAACACCTGTGGGACGCGGCCAGAGCGACCCATGCGAGCCACAGGTGAGTTTGCAGACGTTGAGAGGCGAGAGACCACGCCCAAAGCCCTTCTCTTGTTTCACGCACTTCCCGCCCACGCACGCCCATCCCCAAGGACTCACTAGTCTGAGGATGAGGGAGGGATTGTAAAGGATGAGGTGGAGAGAGAGTATTAGGTGTGAAAGTGTAAGAGATGGGCGTAAAATGTGGCTGGCTAAATGTGTGAGCAAAGTAGTGTTTTTATTTATGTGTAGTGGTATTTAGACTCATTAGCATGTAGGCCTATGTTTGCAGTAAATGTATAATGTGAGAGCAGATGAACCGCATTCTTGTTGAGAAATGTAGCAAAAGGTATGAATGAGAATGAATATCTTCACAGTACATGAGATGTATTTCACCGGTTTCGATTATATGTTCGTCAGAAATACAAGTGTTACGTAAAAGCAGATGTTATGGAACAAATAACAGTTGCTATGTATCTAAAATCATCTGTTTCTCGAGTTACCTACATCTGTCTGTCAATCTGTATCAATATATCTATATGTCAGTCTATCAATATCTGTATCTATCAATTAATTTATCTATGGATATAGATGTAGATAGATAGATATAGATACATAGATAGATACGTAGGGAGGTAGGTAGGTAGATAAGCAGGTAGGTAGGTAGGTAGGTAGGTAAGTAGGTAGGTAGGTAGGTAAGTAGGTAGGTAGGTAAGTAGGTAGGCAGAGAGAAAGGCCGATAGATAGACAGATATAGATGTATATTTACCGCTGTTGCAGATCAAAGGGTTCCTGGTTGCTTTGAATTCCATCTCGCTTCTCGTTTCCTGTCTCTCGATGTCCGAAAATCAGGTCATCCTTCACACCGGTAAATCGTCCCGCTAAGTCTCCAAATCCGACAGCCGGTTCTCTCATCAGAGTTCCTGGTTCTCTCCCGGTCGACGGCGAACCGGGCACCATCATCGCCGGCGACTGGGGGAGGTTCTCATAGCCCCGGTAATACAGCTTGGAAGGCGGTTTCATCTCGTCCAACTTCATCTTGATTCCTCCGATGGCATCCTTTAGCTTCCAAATCGTTCCCTCGATGGCGTCGACGGCCAAGGACTCGTTCGCGAGGTCATTCGAAGCTTCGCGGGTTTCGGAGTGCTCGTTTTCGGAGGCGCGGAGGGCATTCGAGGCTGAGCTGTCGTTTCTCTGCGGTTCTTGGGGTTTTAATTCCGTGTTTTCCGTGGTGTTGTCCTTTCCTTCGGCGATTAAAGTGGTTTTCTTTTCGGTTTCTTCCTTCTCTGTCTCGGCGATGGCGTTCGGGGCTATGTTTTCCTCGGGAGGATTCGACTCTTTGGCAGCAGCGTCGTGATTTTCTTCGTTCATTTCTGTCTTCACATCACTAGTCTCCGTATCCCATAAGTTATCGGATTCTTTTTTGTTCTCTGTGTCGGTTATTTCTCCATTTCCTCCCGCCTTCTCGTCCAAGGTCAGTGCTGCCTCGCCTTCGAGTCGCTCCTCCTTACCCGCATCACCCGTTCGCATTCCCTCCCGAGGAAGAGGTTCCACGATCTGGTCGTACACTGACATCGGGTCCTCGTCCTCGATCCGTCTCACCTCCAGCACCCTGAGGCCCTCCACCTGGCGCTCGGCTTTCAGCATTCCCCCCTCGCTATCGGTCGCGTCAGGGGCGAACCTCCTCCTCTGGCTCCACCTGTACAACAACACGACCACCAGCGTCAGCACCGCCACCTTTATCGTCTTGCGCAGGAAGAGTTTGGTCCTCGCCGACGTGAACTTTCTGAACCTCCCCTTCGGCACCGTCGCCATCTTGCCGTCCTCCCCTCTCTTTGGGAAGAAATACAACAGCGTCTCCATGAATCGCCCGCAAACAAGGACCACTTCAGGCTCTCACCGTCGAGGATTTTTAAGCACCAACACTCTGTTATGAAGGCAGTGTTACTCCGTGTGTTACTCAGTTATGGATTCTCCGTTATTTTACTCCGTATGTTACTGTTATAAAGCCTCTGTTACTACTTGCGTTACTCTGTTATGAAGTCTCAGTTACTCGCTATCTTATTATACCAAGTCTCATTTACCCCTTGTGTTACTGTATCACGAAGTCTCCGTTACTCCGTGTGTTACTTTTATGAAGTCTCCGTTACTCCCTGTGTTACTCTATCACGAATCTCCTTACTTGTATGACGGTATGTTTTCACCTTCCCAAAGAAACTGCGGCTGTGAGGTGATTGCTACGTCGCGTTTCACACCTGAAACAACACCTGGTCGATTTTTGCATTCTCAATAGGCTGCTCGCTTAATTCGTTTAATTTTTGAATGTATGCTACGTTTTTTTCGTTGTGTGTGTGTTTATATATATGTATGTATATATATGTATATATATATATATGTATATATATATATATATATATATATATATATATATATATATATACATATATATATATATAATATTCTATCGTACTCCACATAATAGACATCATAGGTATAATGTCAATAGCTATATCTACCTTATTTCTAATTATCCGTATCTACATCTACCTTTCACTGTCTATCTATCTATCTATCTATCTATCTATCTATCTATCTATCTATCTATCTATCTATCTATCTATCTATCTATCTATCTATCTATCTATCTATCTATCTATCTATCTATCTATCTATCTATCTATCTATCTATCTATCTATCTATCTATCTATCTATCTATCTATCTATCTATCTATCTATCTATCTATCTATCTATCTATCTATCTATCTATCTATCTATCTATCTATCTATCTATCTATCTATCTATCTATCTATCTATCTATCTATCTATCTATCTATCTATCTATCTATCTATCTATCTATCTATCTATCTATCTATCTATCTATCTATCTATCTATCTATCTATCTATCTATCTATCTATCTATCTATCTATCTATCTATCTATCTATCTATCTATCTATCTATCTATCTATCTATCTATCTATCTATCTATCTATCTATCTATCTATCTATCTATCTATCTATCTATCTATCTATCTATCTATCTATCTATCTATCTATCTATCTATCTATCAACCTACCTATTCTGTTTTTGTGGCACACTTTAAACTTCATTTCGATCAGTTCCCAATCAGGACAGCCAGCAGCTTTGATTACTAGGAAATATCAGTTAATGAGATGCCAGTTAAATGAGAGAAACGCTCCTAATTAGGATAAAACTGTTATGATTACTTATGTATATTCAAATGAGTTCGGAGCAAAATTCCAAAGAAAAGGTAAAACTAGCAATGACAAGAGATAGCAGGGTGTCATATCAAGATTTTTTTTTAATGCCAGGTTGTCATTTTGTCTTCTTTATATAAAGGTCATAGTTCAGAATTCGGGATCTGCGATATGGTAAGGAGTAATGAGATATGTCTGTTTGTTATAATCGTATTTCATGTTTTTTTATTATTTTTTTTTTATGGTTCTCAATGTTACTAATTTCCCTGTCTCATTGTTTGATTTAAGTCGTCATTTAAGTCACTGAAGATTTTTTTTTTAATTCTCCATTATTATTTCTCCAAAAACATTTTCGAGGTAGTCAGAAGATTCTGCTGTGGTATGAGATGTCTACAGATTGTACGAATAATGAAGGTAGATATTGTTTTATGTAGTTTCTCACATTCCTCTGCAGCTATATACCTTTACAGCTGCAGTGATCTTACTTGATTGAAGGGTGTCTCTTAATTATATGCAAACTCAAATTTTAAGAATACTTAAGAAACTACTTGACTTTTTTTTCTTTCTCTTTTTAGGTGAAGCCAGGCTAAGGACATCGAGTTCTCTCTGCATAACAATCATTTCAGTTTCTTTAAAGCAGCCTGAGAGAGGCGGTGTATTGTTGTGTTTATTTCGACCGTATTGTAAAAAAAAAAAATGGGTGCAATTTTTTTTTTCTGGAGGCAACAGTGATGAAATCCTCCTCTTGCTGGTGTGGCTATGATTGATCGTTTGTTTCTTATGCTTTCGTTTGTTCTGTGTTGTTGTTGATGATGAGCGTTAGTATTTGGGGTGTAGAAGAGATAGTACAGTAGAGAGGGGCAGAGACAGCGGTAGCGATCTCGTCTGGCCTGCGTTCAAATCCCTCGCCGCCAGTGGATGGTAACCCCGGCCATTCCTTGCACACAGGGGGTCATTTAGAAGCAAAATAAAACAGACAGCCTGTCATACCAAGAATACCCATAGTGACAAATGGAGAAAAAAACAACACTTAGAAAAATAAATAATTACTATTCATGATACAACTTCTTTATGAGTGTCACTTGAATTTCAGCATTATTGATAAGGCGCTTGCGTGGCTCAAGCAGGGAGTCACTGGTACGTCAGCAACGTCGTGGATCTGCAGGCTCGATGGAAAGGCAGTGCTAGGGAGGGAATGCAGTGTCAGGGAGGAAAGGGAGTGCCAGGGAGGGAAAGGAATACCAGTTAGGGAAGGGAGTATCAGTGAGGAAAGGAAGTGTCAGTGAGAAAGGGCCACGTTTAGGTAGTGTTTGGAAGTGTATCGATCATGGATATAGGCGCAGAGAGGTACACAGAGCCAAATAATATGTTTATAATTCTTGTGGGTTTGAAACATAGGACGTTCTTACAAGGTGAGGCTTTGTGAAAGGGAAGGCTTAATAAGTGCTTCGATCACGGGCAGAAGGAGATCAGACGGAATT